AAATAGTGTATAAAGCAAAGCTGGAGCAGGAGCGCCAGCAGAGCCGTGCTTCTGAATCACACATTGTCAGGGGGGCAAAATAGACCTAGGTCTGCATAGCCTTTTGTCTTCAGCTGAGCTTGCTTTGCCCATCACTGCTCCCATCCCTGTCACCCCTGATATTCTTTGTTATCCCCATCCCATGGGCAGATGAGCTATTCAGTGCTGTATGGTTAAGTTTGCACGGTAAGACGTGCAAACATTCCCCGTGTTCAAAGTCCAGCTGGTGTCTATCACTACTTCACAGCTGCATCTGGGCTGAATATCAGGTTTATATCGTTTAGCACACTTCACCCTGCAAAGTTAACTCACACAGTCAAAACAAAGCAACAGTATGTTATAAAAGACCTATTAATCAGGATTGTCTGGAGATCAGGACTGTGCTACTGTGCAGAATAACCTTTAAGAACTGAAAAAATGTGGTGCCCATGCCCCAAGTAGTGTAAACTGGCACAACTCCTCTGTTTTTTTTGAGGACCACGGGACCATTCAGTGCACAATACCCAAGTCACTCCCCATTTTTTCTCTTCTTCCTCATGGACTGCACTAACCTATCGGTGACCTGGATACTTCTTCCTTTGTGTCTTTCAGGTGTGGAGTGAGGAAGCTGCCAAAAGTGCTCAGAGATGGGCAAATGAGTGTGGGATGAAAATCAGTTCAGGAGATCAGAGAGTTATTAATGGTACATGACAAATAGGAAGCCTAAGCTAATGGGTTAATGACAATTTGCAGATGACCCCTGTGCATGTGAACTAGAGATAAGGATAACATTTAATCCATGGTAGAATACCTTTTGAGGATTATTAAACATAAAAACATCATCTTTGTCAGAGAAGTACTCTGAAAGAAAAATTGGTGGAACTTGAATGAGAGGGACACTATGTACTTGCCCTGTTTTTCTACCCTTCTTTAATTGTCTGGTTTTGACTCCTGCTGGAGACAATACAACAGGTGACCATGTTGGTATGATTAAGTACAGACATTTTTGTGTAACATTTTGTAGTCAAATAAATACCTGTGACTGAAAGCTCACCAAAATCCCTACAGCTTTCATAGGATCAGGCGTACTACCCTCTTCCTAAAATCACAGAGCAAAGAGGTTGGCATCATAGAGATTTTTTTAGGATGTAACTACACCCCTCTGTCATACCTCCCACCCTACAGCTTGCTTCTCTCCTAAGCAATACAATAGACCTACTTCAGGTGTCACCTGTGGTGAGAATGTACTAATATCATCTCACCCAAGAACATGGGCTGAAGCAATCAAGCCTGGTACAGTCAGTCCTCCAGTTTCAAGTATGGATTTGGAGCAACGGCAAAGAATGTCAATATCGAGAGCTACACTCAGGTATGGAGAATTGAAACAAACTGCAATGATATGCTAGGTTTACAGGAGTACACTTGCGGGAAATGGGAGATATCTATTGTCAGAAAAAAACTATCACTGTCATCAAACCTTTATCTAGCATTCACATATGATCCAAAGAAAGATGGTTGATAAATTAAAACTCCTTTTCATCTAATTCTGAGGCAACAGAACTGTCATTTAGGAAGAGCTGTCCAGAAGAGAAACATTATTCTGTAGAAGAAAAAAGATTCAATATCTTCAATTTAGAAATAATTATTTCTATATAAAGATTGAAATATCTGATTAAGAACAGTTAAAGCAAAATATCTATGATTAAAATATTAGAACTTAAACTTCAGTGTCCTGCCAGAAACTGGTCCAAAACATGTTGAACTGGAGGACATCATAAACTCATTTTTGTTTTTTTTTTTTTCCTGACATCTCAACTGTAAATTTAAAAGCTAAATAGACAAAACAAAACAAAAAATTATGTTCTGGTTCAGCCTTTTTGTGAGCTTATTGATGATAATTCAATGACTATGAAATAATCTCTTTATTTTTTATTCTATAGATAATCTGGTATAACAGCTACCAGATTGGATGTGCAGTTGCCTACTGTCCTAGGGGCCAATTCAACTACTTCTATGTTTGCCAATACTGTCCTGCGTACGTACTGCCTTTTTACTCATTTAAATTGCAATAATTCTGGATATGTTTTCCAAAATTCCTGCAGTCCGTTGGTCATGTGTAGGATAAAATGATTACAGTTTATTCTAACCATTTATAATTTTGAAAATACTGCTGGGAATTGTGACTTTAACATCAGGTTAAATACCAGTGTTCATTTTATATCAGATTGAAACAAAAAATAGGGAAATTTTAGCATATGAACAAAGGAAGGTCCGTCTCTGTTGGGATCGGGCACCATGCACAAATCATCCTATAACTTTGACCACAAACAAGAAAGTCAGATGCAAAGTGAAAGACAGCAGCAAATAAATATTCACAGAGCTAAAGAGCACATCTGAAACAGCTGCATGTCAGAGGGTGGTTGCTGAGGTTATCTCCTTAAAAGCCACAATCAGTCAAAAGCCATTAGAAAAGCCAAACTAGGAAGCACATAAGATTTTTTTGTAACTGATCATGCTATACAAAGGCAAATAATCCAT